AAAATAGGGAGTCGATCGGCGGCCACCAGCCGATCTCTCGAGTGCGGCGAGACAAAGAGGCGGAGAAGGAGGATGATGCGAGGAGGGAGAAGGGAGGAAAGGGTGGAGGGGGAGTTAAGGACGCAGACACACGACGAGTGAACGCGTTTCGTGACGATGGTTAACCACCACGCTCCCTGCGCGGCATGGCATACCGCGACAAAATTAGCGACCAACCGAAATAATTTACCACCGAACCCCCCGAACAGTTGTATGGTCTTCGTTTCGCGAATGACCCTGAAAACCGACATGGATCGGCCGCGTTCCTTCGCGCCCATTATCATCCGGACATTTCTCAGCCGTGTATTTTTTTTTTTTTTTTTTATTACGCGAATAAAGAAACGAGGATTTTTCCGGAACGTACGAAGGAATTTTTAAAAAATGATCGTCGAGAAATGACGCGTGAGAATTCGTTCGTATTTAAGAAATCGGAAGAATTAAGTTGTGCATTAGGTGAAATTTATTCTCCTTACGTCTCTTTTGAAAGGAAAAGTGACGAAGAAGCTTCCTTCGTTACTTAATAGTTTTGCATTCTCGTATGTTATAACACGTATGAATAATGGATGATACAACGTTGCATCGAGTGCAATGTTAATGTCGCTAAAAGACGACCTGCAACGTGAAAAAATACTGGGATCACCGGAAATGAATTTCAATTTTCACGCGAAACATTGACGCGCGTAATTAATAACAATGCGCAATTTCTTCCGGAAAAACTATCTACGTACGTGGGATTTCATTGAATCTAACTATACTCTTTCCTCTCTTTAGTTTTTCTGGATTTTTCTGGACAAGGTATAAATTAATTACAAGATATACATATTTCACGTATAATTCGTATAATTCGAAATTCAAAATGAAGTACGGACGTCATTATACGAATGATTCATCAGTTAGTTAAATAAGCAGTCAATATCCGTTTCTGCGAAACATCGATCCGATCTGTGTAAATCAGTCACCTTTCACTCGAAGGCAAGTTTTTTTTTTTTTTTTGTCACTTTCGAAGAATTTTTCCTTCCCAACTTTTTCCACGGATTTTCTTCTTCCTCTCTTTCGCCTCTGGTTGCCCACCTCCGCAATTGGAATGGAATCGCGAACAATTACGGCCAATTGTTAATTGCCCCCGCGCGAATGTTCGCCTGATCCTTTATGAAATCATTTAACAACAATAAAGATCAATCGTTTAAAAATAGATGATGCGGAGTTAAAAACAAGACGTGGACTGAAATAGAAATTGCGGCCAATTTTACGAGG